GAAAGTATTTGGGAGCTTGTATCTAATCCTTAAAATATTTTAGGGATACTTTCAGAGGGGGGAATGTTAGAGTAGCCAAAAGCCCCATAAAATGAAAAAAAAATGAAGAAGTAAGAGTACATGAAGTTATCAGAAAAAAAAAAAAAAAAAAGGGAAGGGGAGATACGGGGGAGGTGGAGGGGAGGGGATGGGCATGGATTTGATCAAAACACCTTATATGCGTGTATGAAATTCTCAATAAAATATCTATTTGATTAAAAATAAATAAATAAAGCCGGGCATGGTGGTGCAAGTCTTCAATCCCAGCACTCGGGAGCCAGAGGCAGGCAGATCTTTGTGAGTTCAAGGTTGGCCTGGTCTACATAGTGAGTTCCAGGACAGCTGGGGCTTTAGGGAGACCCTGTGTCAGACCAAAAAAAAAAGACCAAACAAATAAATAAGTAAAATGGATGAAGCTTTAAAAAATTATCAAACCAAAACAAATAAAAAAGAATATTGAAGAGCAATTTGCTCCTTTTGGGGGGGGTTTCTACACCTGTGAGAAAAAGAAGTATTCCTTTGGGACAGACAGGAAGATAACTGGTTATGGCTGTGGGTAACTGGGCTTGGTCCACTTCTCCCTGTGATATCACAGGAGGTCATTGTGAGGTACTGCAGATGACTGTCTATATAAGGCAGGCCCTGGGCCTGGAGCTCGTCCTTATACTGCAGAGAAGCTGTTTTTCGACTGGATAGTAGTAGTTGGACCAGAAATTGTTTCTGAAAATGGATATATTAATAATCTTATGTATCTTGGTGATCTGCTTGATCTCAGCATAGTGAGTTTGGGTGTCAGTTTTGGTTCAGGTGTCCTGGGTTCTATTATTATTGATTTTCTTTTGGGAAATTTACTTTTTTCTTTCAGTGCAGGTTTTTTAAAATGACCTGGTGTTGTTGTATTCTGAGCTGTATATCTTTCTCATTTTTAACTCCTTTATGATACAGGAATTGATAGTTGTAAAGTTCTTAGACCTGCTTTTTCTTTTCATCTAGCGTTGTCTATTGGTGGACTCCAACAACATGGACAGTGAGGGACAGGAAGGTGGAGGTCCGCTCCACCCTCTCTGACGTAAACATCCTCGGAGAGGGTGAGATGGAAATCACCGACGTCCCACAGCACCAAAAGGGTTTTTATACAAAACTGACATCAACTGAAGACCTATTGGGTTTTAGAAGCCAGCAGGGCCCTGGTCCTCGAGGCGCCTCTGTCACCACCCGAGTAAGTCAGCCGGGACCCAGCCCTCGTGGTGCCGCAGCCAGAACCCGACTAAGGCAGAGGAGACGCGGCCCTCGAGGCGCCCCCTCCACCACCCGAGGAAGCCAGCCGGGCCCCGGCCCTCGAGGCGCCGCCTCCACCACCCGAGGAAGCCAGCCGGGCCCTGGCCCTCGAGGCGCCGCCTCCACCACCCGAGGAAGCCAGCCGGGCCCCGGCCCTCGAGGCGCCGCCTCCACCACCCGAGGAAGCCAGCCGGGCCCTGGCCCTCGAGGCGCCGCCTCCACCACCCGAGGAAGCCAGCCGGGCCCCGGCCCTCGAGGCGCCGCCTCCACCACCCGAGGAAGCCAGCCGGGCCCTGGCCCTCGAGGCGCCGCCTCCACCACCCGAGGAAGCCAGCCGGGCCCCGGCCCTCGAGGCGCCGCCTCCACCACCCGAGGAAGCCAGCCGGGCCCTGGCCCTCGAGGCGCCGCCTCCACCACCCGAGGAAGCCAGCCGGGCCCCGGCCCTCATGAGGAATTAGACAACTAGTCACAGAGGGCACTGACTTGTGCCGGGATTCATACTTGTACCGCAGAAGAGTTTTTGTCTGTGGGATATTGTTGGACCCCGTCAATGCTTCTGCTCAATGTGATTTTTCCCCAGTCTGTCGGACCCCAAAATTCTGCAGTTATAGACGCTGCCTTGTGCTTGCTGGGAACTTGACCCAGGTCCTCTACCAGAACAGCCAGTGCTCTTAATTGCTGAATGATCTTTCCAGCCCCTATTTTCACCCTTTGTTATAGTGTATCATACATAACTGTACAAAATGCTTTCATTATGACATCTGCATACATGAAATCTGGGCACATTTATTTGCACCATCATATTTTCTCCTCCACTTCTCCATGCCTAAATGTTCCCGTTGCTACAGTAAATGCCCATCCACCCATCCATGCCACTAGTTAGACAACATCTGTCTCTGTGGAACTGGTTATTGCAAAGAAAATCCCTAGACTGATTTATTTTTCAGGAAATGATGAAAATTCCTTTTTCATTCTCTTCTTCTTCCTCCTCTTCCTCTTCCTCCTCTGTGTCTTCCTGCTCTTCTGCCTGGTAATGGTCGTATTCCCTTGATTTTGCTATATGCTGGTATCTGTTTGCATATATGGAATTACCCAACTACTCCTTGCTGAACCCATCTCGATCAAGACTTGGTGTGCATTATCAAGTAATTTCATTAAGGTCGTTGACGCTTGTGTTCAACAAGAAACTTGGCTTATAGTTTTCTCTTTGATTGGGTATTTATCTGGTGTTGCTATCAGGGTAATACAATCTTTGAGAATGAATTTGGAAGTGTTCTTTCCTTCTCCCTCTAGGAAATAGTTTGAGGAGCACTGATGTTTATTCTTTAACGATCCAGTGGAGTTTTCAGAGAATCTGTTTCTCCTGGACTGTTTTTGTTGAGAAATGCTTTTCTTATTACTCTTTCAGTGAACTTGTTTACTTGGGGTTTATTTCAATTTCTGTGTTGGTCATTCAAATCGAGAAAGGCATCTATTTGTTTCAGATTCGCCAGCCTGCCAAAGACTGTCTTCAAAATACTCCCCTCCCCCTCCGTGATCCTCCAAATTTAAGTGGCGTCTGATGGAATACCACTTGCTCTTGCCTCTAGTCTCCCGAGTTCCGTCTTCTCAGTGGTTTTGTGTGGGTGAGGCTTTGCCATGTTGTTTCCTTTTCAGGTAACAGCTCTTCTTTCATTTGACCTTCGAGTTCGTGTCTTGGCGCCCACTTCATTGACTCCAGCTCTGATCTTCATTGTTTTGTCATCTCCTTGGGGGTGTGGGTGGCTCTCGTTTCTCTGTGACCTTGAAGTATGTGGTTACATTACTTTGTGATTTTATGATACAGGAATTGATAGTTGTAAAGTTCTTAGACCTGCTTTTTCTTTTCATCTCGTGTTGTCTCTCGGTGTAATGCCCCACGATCGAAGGTGAGGGACACAAAGGTGGACGTCCGCTCCACCTTCTCTGGTGTACACATCCTCGGAGATAAACTCAAGGTCTTAATCAACTCAGTCTGTGGCACATTTCGGGAAGTAAAGTTGGCACATCATCTCTGAACCAAAACCCCTGTTGCCGTTAAGATGAAAAAGAGCATAATCGTGGACCGCTGCATCGAAAGTGAGTTGGAAATCATGGAAGCCGCACAGCACCAAAACATCGTGAAGCGTTTTCATACTTTTGTAACATCAACAAAGTCCTACGTGGTTATAGAATTTATCTGAGGCAGGGACATTGTGAGGATCCTACAGGAGTTTGGCCCTACGGAGAAGCAGAGGGTTCTCCCCTTTGTCCCTTGGGTGGCATTAGCCATGCGGCACCTCCATGAAAGACACATTGTCCACCTCAGTATAAAATGTGACATCAACCTAGTGACTGACGGGAAAAACCAAACGGTGTGACTCTTGGTTAGCAACAAGAGTGACACCTGGGCAGATGTGGGAAGAGGCCTGTCGCGCACTGCCAGCACCTGACAAAACCAGCAGGGCCCTGGTCCTCGAGGTGCCACCACCTGACAAAACCAGCAGGGCCCTTGTCCTCGAGGTGCCAGCACCTGATGAAACCAGCAGGGCCCTGGCCCTCGAGGTGCCGCCGCCACCCCCGACACCTGATGAAGCCAGCCGGGCCCTGGCCCTCAAGGCGCCGCCGCCACCACCCAACGAAGCCAGCGGGGCCCAGTGCCCCCCACCCCCGGCCCCCACATTCTCCACATCTAGGAGGAGAAGGGTGTGGAAGGGGGTGAGGAGGTGTTTCCTTCAGGTCTTTAGAACATTTTGCTGTTGCCTCCCCACCCCAAGAGAAAGCAGCATGCCCCCAAGGTAGGTGGCTACAGTTAAAGGAAGTTGGAGTCCCACAGGAACCCCCAGTAGGTGGGGCCACCAGATGTGCTTCTGCCTCTCATTTCCTCCAAGTTCAAAATGCTGACAGAACCGTTTTGGGGATTTGAAATTTGAGACCTGCGCTTCCTTAAGAGGACCAGTCTCCCAGCACACCCTTCTGTGGACTCTGGGAATAGGAGGCAGAAGTGACAGCAACAGATGATAGTCCTGGGAGGGAGAAGAGAAGGACGAAGTTGGGAGGAGGCTGTGGGGAATGGAAGCAAAGGTGGAGAAGGGTGGAGTCAAGTGTGGAGCCTTTGGGACAGCAAGGGGAGCACAGTGCTGAGTGTGTCCCGTCCCTTTCAGCCTCACTAACACATTCCCTTTCGTGTGTCTTCTTTCAAGGGGAGAAGAAGGGGCCCAGCTCCATGGTTGTTGAACCACGAGGCTGGGTTCGGCCTGGTTGTGGACCGAGAGCCACACGGGGGACCCAGGCCGAAACTCAAAGAGGCGCTGTTGCCTGCCCACCATCCACCAGTGGGAATCACAACAAGGGCCCTGCACCTCTTCTAAGTGTTGGGCGTGAGCTGAAGCTCCCCCCCATTCAGCTCGTCAGTACCTCGGTCATCTCGTTAGGGTCCGAGGGTCGGGAATATTTCCCACAGACTCGAAGGAAATAAATAAAAATTTTATTCAGAAATTTAATGTCTCAAGTAACCAAATTAGGGGCTAGCCAGGCCCAGACTCCCCAAGCCAAAGATGGCATCCGGCCCGAACGACAGCAGGCAGGGGCTTTTATGGTAGAGCGTTATACAAACCCACTGTGCGCCAAGCATCTTTAAAATAATCGGATGGCCCCATATCCTGAGTATGGGGGAGGTTTGATTGGTAGGGGCTGTCTTCAGGGCATTAGAATGTGCTGACTGAAATCTTTAGGGCCAGAAGTTTTTGTTCATACCTTATGAGGCTTTTATGTGTTTAGGGCTTGCTGAATCTATAGCTTGGGGTCGGGGGAGTAGCAACTGGAAACATTTACAGTATGCCTGAGCTTGTCCGGGCTTGTTGAAGAAGCTAGCCAAATGGAGTCAGTGCATTCTGGCTCTTCAGTCTTATCCTCAGCAGTATTCGGATTGACCAAATAAGTGCTGACAGCATTTGACAAACTACGTAAGCCCAGGAGGAGGAAGGAGAAAGGGTTAATGGGAGAGTAGGAAGTAGAAGGATGGCATAAAGGAAGAGGAGGGGGAGGGGGAGGAGAAGGCACCGGGGAGGGAAGAGAGAGTTCTAGTTTATTTCTCAACTGCTAGGAAAAAATACTCTGACCAGTACCAACTTGGGGAGGAAAGAGTTTATCTTACACCTCCCGGGTTACAGTTCATCCAGGAGCCCAAGGTAGGAACTCAGGGCAGGAACCTGGAGGCAGGAGCTGGAGCACAGGCCATGGAGGAACGCTGCTTACTGGCTTGCTCCCTGGTCCCTGCTCAGCCTGCTTTCTTATATAACACTGGCCCACCTGCCCAGGGGTGGCACCACCCACAGTGGGCTGGGCCCTTCCACATCACTCAACCATCAAGAAGGTTCCCCACAGAAGTGGCCACAGGCCAGTCCAATGGAGGCAATTCCCCAATCAAGGCTCCCTCAACCCAGACGTGTCCAGTTGACATGAAAGCTATCCGGCACAATTGACCCCTTGTCAACTTGACAAACACATCACTATTAAACCATAAGCTTTCCAATTCTTGTCCCCAAGCTATGATGTTCTCTTTTAAAAGTCTCAACTTTGGGTGGGCTTCTGTAAAACCAAAACAAGTACTGTCGTATTTGAAAGGGAAGAATCGGGCACACCTAAGCAAAACCAAAGTCCAGCAAATTAGGTCAAGGCTGGACATCTGGGATTCACTCATGATCTTCTGGCTCCAAAGGGTACCGGCAGCTCCACTGCTCTGACTCTGCAGTCCACAGCACACTCAGCTCATCTCGCAGACCCAGGCCAGCTCCATTCCACACCTGC